CGGTGTCGGGGCTGCCGTGCGCTGCACACACGCGTGGTAAGAGACCGTCCCAGCCCGGCGAGTTGAGCGGGGCCACTCGACACGCGTTTGTTTGCGGTTCGGGTTTACACGGGGCCCCGCACGCCCGGGACTGAGTGGACCCAAGAGGCAGAGCGCGGCAGGGTTAATATCAATGGCGGGGGCTCCTGTACGTTTGATTTTCCTTCATAGCCATGGGTTGGGGAATAGCTGGCCAGGCAGTGGCACTGCAGAGAAAGATCTGGGGGAGGGCAACTGAATCACACATTGAATGAGGGAGCAGGGGGATGCTCCTTGTGCAAAAGGCAAACCTCATTGTGGGAGGCTGTCCCAGGCTGCTGTGCCCCTTTCTGGCTGTTCTGGGGAGTAGCTCCCAGCCAGACCAGGGCTTCCCCTTGCGGTCAGTCTCCCCCTCCCCGCCTTGTGCTTTCTCTCACCCTGCAGTCTCATCTCTACTGAATCACACATTGAATGAGGGAGCAGGGGGATGCTCCTTGTGCAAAAGGCAAACCTCATTGTGGGAGGCTGTCCCAGGCTGCTGTGCCCCTTTCTGGCTGTTCTGGGGAGTAGCTCCCAGCCAGACCAGGGCTTCCCCTTGCGGTCAGTCTCCCCCTCCCCGCCTTGTGCTTTCTCTCACCCTGCAGTCTCATCTCTCCCTCCAAAGCCGCTGCTTTCTCTTGGCCACTCAGCCCTCCAGCCAGGTTGCAACTGGTTTTCCCTTTTTGGAGGATAGTGTCTCATCAGACTCATTATCCAGGCATTGTCAATGCATCTGTGGTTGGTAGGGAAACTCAAACTGACCCACTGCTCCAAGTTCCATCACATGCAGGCAAGATCTGGTCTCTCCCTAGGCTGCTTCCTACTCACCTCCCCTGGACTTTCTCCTCCCCCCTTCACTCTCATGGGGTTAGACCAGGCATGTCCAAAGTCCGGCCCGCGGGCCAATTGCGGCCCGTGTTCCAGTTTAATACGGCCCCCGCTTCCTCCCCCTCTCCTGGCACCCCGGCGCTCTTTTGAACTGGCGCGCCCAGCGCGCCCCCTCCAGCCCCACCGC